TTTTGCCTGAAAAGGAAGCAAACAAATATCGTCAACATCTCATTTTAGACAATTATTCACTTTGCGGATGTAGCACAAGTTGTTATTGCTGTTGCCATGTCGATACATTTCGTGTAATACAAAGCGAGAAAGATTTACAGGCACAATATATTCGCAAATGACACTAAAAGAGGCATACAAATACATCATATAAACGATAACTAGGTAGAAATATGCAGTTATATTGAATGATATGGGAAGTTAATTCTCACATCAACCTAGGCACGTTTATTTTCGAATGTCTCTGACTGCCTGGCTACATAAAAGTACGTTGATTGGCATAGAGGGAAATAACCAATACATAGTTACATACACACATACGTACGTACATATAAAATACAAAAGTACATGCATACGTAAATACATAAAACCATACATACATACATACATACACATATTCATGCTTGTATACATACTCATAAGTATATGTAAAATTCATATGTATATACATACATACGTGTGTACATACATGCATATAAAATGCAAGCGTACAAAAATACATAATACATACAAAAATTTAGGCATATACATGCCTCCATACACACTCCCATATATGTATTACGTATTTTTATCTGTCATTTTGTGAGTCAAGAGACGGTTATCCATTCAGCTCTGGAATGAACGGCCAAGTGGTACGTCTGAGGAAGGTTCATCCGGTTGTCATGGCAGCCGAAAACGGCTGTTTCGTGAACTGCGCCCACTTGATTTCTCTGATCACCTTGAAAGGCCTCCGGCATATCAAAAGAACTCTGTCGTCGTATTTTGATGCGAAAGTTACGGATGCGATTCTCATCATCCAACAATTTCACGAACCGCCCGAGCAGGATGGACAGAGTCGCAAGGGCTGAGGTGATCTCAGAATGTGGTCAGCAAAATGCCAAAGACCATACCACATCAATTTTCATGGCGACTGGCCGACGAGGGCCTTGACAAATGACAAAGGGAAACAGTGAGGTGATCCTGAGACGTCAGCTTTGGCAGCAAAGTTGGTCCTTTCTGCAGCTGATCAGGTCCTCAAAGTTGGCTGCGAGACCCACCGCGAAAACTCATCATGGCTGCCGAAAGTGAGGATATTTGTCCACTCACTGTTCTCATGGCAACTGTATCCGTTACATCCACTTGTGGATATGCCTGCTAATTGTCCTGTCAAGGCTTTGCATTCACTGGCCCTAAACTACTCAATTCGACGTACCAAATTGGCGCAAATGAGCGGAAGAGCATACTCCAAAGTGCCCATTATCGAGGCCAGTGGAGTAGGCCGTCTTCGATACAAGTAAAGTTCGAACTCTTCTTCATCCATCCAACTTCGTGGAATAGTTGAACTTAGTAAAATCCCATCAAGAGGCCACATGCTGGACTCGATTTTACTACCGTCTTGCTTCACGAGAAAATATTCTGGACTTTAGTTTCGACCTCACCTGAACTCGTCTCATGACTAGCCCCGACAGGACTCGAATGCGAGTCGTTGTGGCTATGGGCTGCGGGACAGACGAGAATTTCAAGTATCACATATTCAAAGTGTGATTGGTTGCATTGTCTGGGCGACTTAGTTGAAACGTGGACTTGGTACATTTTCAGACGTTTCGCCGACGCTGGGAATTATGATAACTACTAATTTAGAGTAATTTGGAAGGAGTGTGCCCGACCAAGTCGCCCTGACAACACGATCACTTCTATACATCGAAAGGAGACTACGACCAAAATGGAGGCCACAATATCTTGATATTCTTAACTATCAGTAGATCATATATATGAAATGTGTCCACTGTATTTCTTATATGGTAATAATGGGAATGTTAAATGCACTGAATGCACTGGGAATGGCGAAAACCGACTTATAAATTGAAAATAAGTAACGTAGTCGATTGCT